GCCGCCATCGCCGATCGGTTTGTTCCCTGGCTCCCAGGGACAGGCAGCTTCGCGTTCAACTTCTGTGAACCTCGCATGCGTATCGGTATCCACGGACGCTCTGGATGCAGACCGTGCCGGAGGCGGCTGGGAATAATAACTTGCTTCTAGTGTCTAGTGGGCCGACTCGTTCTGCTAGTTCGTCGATGTTTACAGCGTCTTTCAAATCTATGTGTGGTAAGCAATTTGCTTTGATAGATTGCATGTCTTGTTTGATTGGGTCCATGTGGTGACCCAAGACCGAGTCGATCCCCTTGGCGGTCAGGGGCTGGTCCGCTGCAGCCTCCATGTATTCCTGAAACGGTTGTTGTATGCTCCAGGATATGGTGCCATGCGCTGTGGCTCTTGTGGTGGGTTGCTCCCCGTCCTGGCCTGTTTGAGCGCATTTTTACTGGAGTACCCATCTGATTTTTTTCCGCTGGCATCTTCACGAGGGTGGGAAGAGATACGATCACCCAGAAACTATGGAAATGTGTATGGCAAGCGTATGTCTATGTTGGAGAAATGATGAAGCGTAAGGAAGTGTAAACAACTGTAAGAAGGAAAGCTTGAACCACTTCAGCCGACAGGGCACTGGAGCCGATAAACACCTGTTCGCTACACCACGCCATCGCCTGGGTGAGATCGGCGTGGCACCAGAAAGCAAAAGGCCACAGTTCAAGTTCAGCGCATGGGCGGAGGTTGCGACCTGCTCTTGGCCTTCCTTGGTCATGAACACGGCCTTCTTCGCGTCAAAAATTCCGAGCTGCTGCGCAAGGTGCGCATCACTGGGGTCGGTCGTGGGGAGGGGCCTTCACACCACTCCGGCACAATATCTCCACGGAGGGCGACGAGGGCAAGGCCGCGATGCTCTAGCCCATAACGTAGTATAGGTTGCCCTGGCCGTCGCTCATGCAGTCCACGTGCTGTTCCGTGGCCTTGGTGTGATGAGCCGGATCCCCCGTGCAAGCCAACCTCGAGGCACTTGCCGACCTGCTCGCGGCGACAGGTGGTCCAAGGAGGGTCTCTTTCCTCTTCCACAACCCCTCTTCCATTCGGGGAGGGGAACCCTCCCCCTCCACCCCCTGAGGTTGGGAGGGGAACCGGTGTGTCAGAGGGTCCTTTTTCGGCCCCTGGGAGGGCCCATTTTTGACACCCATCACGGGGATCGTGGCCCCCGGGTGGAGGAGCTATATTTAGTACCCCCCCTCTTTTGAACGGCCGCCTCCAAGATGGCCCCAAGAGGCGCTCCAGGGCTCCCAAGAGGCTCCCAAGAGGCCCCCAAGAGGGCTCCTAGAGCGCCTCAAGAGGCCCGCAGAGGGCTCCGAGAGGCCCCCGAGAGGCACCCAAGAGGCCCCCGAGCGACCTTAGAGAGCCCAAGATGACCTCCAAGATGGCTCAGATAGCCCGAGCTGGCTCAAGATGGCTCCCAAGATTCTCCAAGGGGCCCCAAGACCGCTCCAAGACGGATCGAGATAGCCACAGAGCATCCCAAGCCTCCCTCGCTGTTTGACTGTGCGTGTCTCTTCCCCTCCCCCTGTCAACTCTCATGGGCATCGTTTCTGGATGGACTGGTGGGGATTCGAGAAGCGTCAAGAATTGCTCGAAATTGCCCTGCTCTGCGGGAAAATCCGCGAACATGCCAAGGCAATGCCTGACGAGGTGTTTCACGATCGTGCATGATAATGTTCTGCCGCAGGGTGGCGGTATGTTCTGCGGCGAAGTGTCGGAGTCAATCATGCCTATTGCATGAGCTCGTCGCACTCGTCCGTGAAGAAAGCGCGCCTCTCCCAAAGTTGGATGCTGCTGCACTTTTTCTTAGACTCGATCAGGTCGAGGGGAGCCCGCTGGGACACGATCAACAGAGACTGTAACTCGAGCTGCCTGTCGATGCTGGTGTGCTTCGCAGCCACGTGGTCCTCGAGGTCGTTGAACAAGGACTTGTAGAAGGCGGCGTGCTCCGCGTTGGTAACTGACGACCTCGGGCTTACGCTTCAAAAGCGGCAAATTCTTGCTGGGCCGCTCCCTTGCCATCCGCGTCTTCTGGTCGTCCGACTCGTCGGCGCATGACTGACGCGTGAGCCTGCTGCGAAGGCTGGAGCGCTGCAATTTCCTGGGAGCCTGCACGGTGCGCTCCGTGTTGGCCAGGCCCGCCGGGATGCCCATGTTAGCGCCGTGGTCGTTCCTGGGCCGCTGTGCCGATGCGCCTGGGCGCGCGAGAGCTCCCCAGCCAGGGTGCATTACAGCGCGTCGGGCTAGCGTCGGCTCCATCTGGAGCGTAGCCCACATGAGCGCCCCAGCCCCGCGTGGGCGCCATCGCAGGTTGCTCTCTGAGCTTTGCCCATGTGCTGGTGGGCGCGCCTGTGGAGGATGCTGTGCCTCCGAAGGCCTGAGCTCGCGGCAGTACCTGAGGATGATGATGATGATGATGATGATGATGATGATGATGATGATGATGCTGATGCTGATGATGATGCTGATGATGATGATGATGATGACGTTAATGATGACTCTGTGTTTGGCGGTACATTAGCGCAAGTGTTGTTGATGATGATGATGATGGTGATGATGGTGATGGTGATGATCATGCTGATGATGATAATGCTGATGATGATGCTGGTGATGGTGATGATCATGCTGACGATGTAATGAAGATGTCGATGACGATACCGATGATGATGATGATGATGATGATGATGATGATGATGATGATGATGATGAGGAGGAGGAGGAGGAGGAGGAGGAGGAGGGACATCACTATCCCCTGATCCCTAGGTGATGCGAGGCTGGCGAAGCCAAAAATCTTACATTTAAGAGCTTGATGTCTGGTTCGGGCCATGCCGGCTCCATTCTACGACGTTCGTGTGTGATGAAGCTGACATCCCACGTCTGCACAACATGTTGTGCTGGATGCTAGCCAGCGCGGACCCCAAACAGCGATTTCTGGCCATCTATGCGGCGCAACCTAGGTGGTGTAATCAACGCGTGGTTCAAAGCGCAAAGCAATGCAAAGCAATGCAAAGAAATCGAAAGCAATGCAAACCAATGAAACGCAAAGCAATACAGTGCAACGCAGTGGAAAGCACTGCAGTGCCAAAGCAATGCAACACCACGCATTTGCAACGCACTTGCAGTGCAATGCACTGCAATGCGATTGCAACGCAATGCGATTGCAATGCAACGGGGGCGGTGCAACGGAGCGGCGGCGACGCGCGGGATCGGGGCCGCTGGGGCCTCACACGGGCCTCTTGTGTGGAAAGATGGGGCGGCGACAGATGGGAACGGCCGGGCCCCCAGGGCCGCGCAGGGGCCCAGTTCTTTAGAGCCTTAGGAGCGAAGTAAGAGCCCCTCCTCTTCCTCCTCCTCCTCCTCCTCCTTCCTCCTTCTCCTCCTCCCCCTCCTCCTCCCCGCGCTCCTGTTCCCGCTCCCGACCCTCCCGCTCCCCAGAACTCTCCGACGCCGTGCTTTTTTGTTACCCAGGCCGGCTCTTCATGCCGAGCCGCTTCTTGACTCGGCGGCGAGCGGTGGGGGGAAATAGAGCATGAGGAAGCCCTCTCACAAGGCTGCGGGGCTTCCCAGAAGGCCCTGGGCCTTCTGAGAAGTTCTCTGTGTTTTCAGGGAAGGTTCAGGAAATTTCTCAGAAGGCTGGAGAACTTCCGAGCCTTCTGAGACGGCCAGCCCCTTCTCACTTCCCCCCCGGGGCGCGCCGCCGATTGACGACCCCGGGGAACGGGGTGAGGGCCACCGGAGGTCCAAGACTGCCACAGCCCGCGCGCCGTGATCCCCTCACGGCGAAAGGATGGATGTGAGGCTCCTCCTGAGCGACGCTCCTCTTGTTCGCCGCCGTTCTCCCCTCCCACCCTAGGGTGAGGACATTTTGCTTAGCGTGCCACGGCGGCGGCCCCAGCGACACGCCGAACCCTTCGAGCGGATAGCGTGTCGCGAAAAATCACGACCAAGGCCTTAACCCCATCTTTCTGCGGCATTACTCTCAAACCGGATCGATCTGTAGTGGTCAGCGAACCGAGGCGTGGTATGCCAGCACCGGCGGACCCATACCTCCAACGTCGCATGTTTTCACGATGTGGACCCCCATAGCTCTGAGACCGGCCCTTCACCCTGAGTCGTCGTTGGACTGTCCCTGGGCCAGGCGAGGGCCTCCAAAGGCCGAAAATGGATACGGCTGCTTCGTGCCGTGTCGACCCAGGCGTTGGTTCCTGACACTGCGTGGGTCGTGCTTCCCCATGGAGCCCACCGTGTGGGCTCCAGGCCACTGGCGGCGTTCCGCGCAGGGGTCGCGGCCGCGTCAACACGACGCTGTTTACGTCGCAGCGCGGCAGAGGCAGTCCGCACGCGCGCTCGGGCGGGCCGGGAGACGGCAGGCGCTAAATTGCCTGGCTGCAAGAGGGGGAGAAAAGGGGGAAAAGGCGGCGGCGGGTCGGGGGGAGGCAGGGTGAGCGCTCACATGGCGGGCACGCCGACACGATACGAAACTACCATGTAAAATGTCCCGTCGTGACTTTTTCACTGCGCGCTGAACGAAAACTCCCGACCGAAGATCGGGGGTACGTAGGACTCGGGTTCGGGGCACTCGGTTTGGCCCGACGGGGCCATCATGAAAATGACGACACCGAGTCTGGAGTCTGACGCGCACTCCTGCGGCAAACATCCCGCGAACACTGGACCGTCAACTCCAGGACGCGCTCGTCAAGAAGCGGGCGTCGGCAAAAAGTGAGGGACTGGAGAGGGGGAGGGAGGCAGAGAGAGAGAGAGGGAAGGGGGGGGAGGGGGGAGGAGACGACGAGGGGGAGGAGGAGCAGAAGGAGGAGGAGGAGGAGGAGGAGGAGGTGGAGGAGGAGGAGGAGGAGGTGGAGGAGGTCCAGGTGGAGGAGGAGCGGGCGTCGGCAAAAACCAGGTTCTGGCGTACTCGCGTCTTCTGCTTCCCCGAGCAGAGCCGCGCCGCCGACGCACCCCGAGCGGGCCTGCGGCCGGCGCCCTCGCAGGGGGCATCGCCTGCGGCGCCTTCGGCTCGGGCAGCCGCCTCGCCGGCGGCGGCACCGGTCGGCAATGGCGTCCTCGTCGTCGGCGTCCTCGTCGCCGCCGACGTCTACGTCGCCGTCAGCGTCGTCGTCGTCGTCGTCGTCGTCGTCGTCGTCGTCGTCGTCCCCCCCCTCCTCCTCCTCCTCCTCCTCCTCCTCCTCCTCCTCGTCCTCCTGCTCCTCCTCCTCCTTCTCCTGCTCCTCCTCCTCCTTCTCTTCGACGTCGCCGCCTTCGTCGTGGCCCTCATCCTCCTCGTCCTCGTCCTCGTCCTCTTCTGAGGTCAGGGCGTTGAATTGTTTCGTCGTCCTCCTCCTCCTTCTCCTCCTCCTCCTCCTCCTCCTCCTCCTCTTCCTCCCCCTCGTCGTCCTCCCCTGAAGTAAGCAGGGGGCGAGTGAGATCCCCCTCCTCCGAGGTGAGGCGAAGACGAGGGAGAAAGGGAGAGGTGGATGAGGAAGATTGCGCGCGTATGATCAGGAACGTTTGCTTAGCGTGTCGCCGCGGCGGCCCCAGCGACACGCTATGCCCTGCATGCGGATAGCGTGTCACTCCGCTCCGCGGGGCGGGAGGCTCGGAAAGGCTCGGGACGTTGACGCCTGAGGGAAGCGAAATGGACAGCGTGTCGCGCCTGGGCCAGGACCGGCGGCGCGACACTCAGTCCAAAAGAATGCAAAAAGTTCCCGACCGTAAGTCGACCGATGGACGATCGACGCTTGCAAGGCGGTCGATGGACGATCGGCAAAGCAGGGGGCCGCCCGAGGCCGGACTAAGCTCCCTCCGCGGGGCCGCTGGGCCAGCTCGCCTCTGGCGCCGCGGGCCCCCCGCTAGCGCCTGCGTGCAGCCAGATCGGCGATGCTCTGCGGCACTGCTGGGGCTCTGCGCAGTCAACCAGCAGCAACTTGGCATTCGTGTTTATGGAAGCCTGTAAAAATCAAAATGATGGCGGATTAGCGGCAAATAGAAGCAAATGGCGGCAACCGTTCACAGGCAAGTAATAGTTCACGCTCCGCGACAACCGTTCACCAATCAGCCCCTACTTGCTGTTAGCGGCGGCCAAGCACAAAAAAACATGTTCGGTCCAATTCTCAGCTTCCGTTGAACAACAACAAGCTTGACAGTAGCTCCTTTACCCACTAAAGCAATTCTGAGATCCTTGCAGCCCATCGCTCAGTCGAGCCCATGCTCGAGGGCGGTGAAGGCCTCGTGCAGCGTTCCTTTCCGCATGGGTGATGGAGGATCGTTTCTTTTTGAGGAGATTCTGCTCGTGCAAGTGAACCTGGGCCAGACCATCGTCCAGCTGCGCCTGTGACTCTTCGGTCGCGTTCTGGAGCGAGACGAAGCGGAACCAGATAGCACAAGTGCACCTCCCGGAAGCATGGGCATCCACAGGTGCTTCAATTCCGCCCTGAATCCCCTGCGGACGGCGGAAGTGCATGATTTCCCGCCCGCAGGGGTGGGCAGATTTTCATATTCAGTACTCCTCGAGAAATCCTCAAAATCCCCAGATGAATTCTTTTCGGGGGCAAGCCCAGACATGCGATGCCTTGTTTTTTTTTGTCACATCCGGGCCCCCGGACTCCCCGACCCTTCCCCCCTTGGCCGGCGTTCCATCGCGAGTCGATCTTTGACGGCCCTGGGGCCGTGCGAGGGCCCTCGGAGACAAAACCACAAATCCCGCCGTGTTTTTTTCGCGACTCGGCTACAGTCAAAACGTCAATTGAAGGACGGATGGTAAAGACGGACGGGCCTTGGAGGCCGAAGTTGGATTTTTTTGAGCGGCGGGCGACCAGTGAAAACGGCAAAGCACGGACCGCAGAGGCAACGACACCAGGGCACCATAGGTGAAGGCGCGCGTCCTGACTAGGCGCGTTGACCGTTTGCCTGGGAGGAGCTCCCAGCACAGCTCCGCGGACCGCTGCCCGCGGCCGGCCCCGGACTCGCCAAACCCTCCGGGAGTGGCCAGGTCAGCCGTGACGCTGCGCCACGAGCGGCACGCTCTGCTGCGCGATCATGGGGGGCAGGCTGGGGAGATGGTTTGGTGTCCAGTGGGATGTTGCGTGGGTGTGTTGCCTCCTCTACTGCGCAAGCCAACTGTGAGTTGCGCAGTGGCAAAATTATGCTGCGAGCGAAATGGAGAAAGAGAGAGAGAGAGAAAGAGAGGGAGAGACAGGGAGGGAAGGAGAGAGAAAGTGAGAGAGACAGAGAGAGAGAGACATATATGTATATGTTTACACACACATATATAATTACATATCAGCGTACCTATATATACCCATGTTAGAAGAGAGGGGGGAAAGAGAGAGATCAGTTCAGTTCAGTTGGGGCGGTATCAGCCCAAAGACTCGCACGCTACGCTATGATGAGCTCACACATTGCGACGAGCGACCAATGTTGGTCACTCTCACACGCATGCACAAGAATTCCTAAACACGCGTTCTCCTAAACAGTGGCGGGAACTACCTCTGACCTCGCCGGGGCGTTTACACAGTGTTTGCTCCTCGGCCTCTCATGGGACCGCTCCGGGCGTTCACACAATGTGCCCCACGGCCTTTTCAAGGAAGAGAGGGAAGAGGGGGGGAGACAAGAGAAGGACGCACACAGAGGGGGGGGGGGCGACTACCACGGACAAAAGACAGAAAACAAATTCACTTCTGTGCCGCTATCTTGACGCCGTCCTGCCAGCGCATGCCGACGAAGCCACGGGCGGCACGAGTACAAGTGCGACTCTCGGAACCAGAACTGTTGAGCAGTCGCTGTGTCTCAAGCCACCTGCTGTCTCGAAACTTCAGGAGGACTGCGGCCCATGAGTTGCCATTTCGGGGCCGGGTCAGATGCTCACTCCAAGCTACCACTCGCTTGCAATGTTTTGTGCTCCATCCTCCTCTCTGGCCCATGATGGTCGTAGCCTGCCCGTTCCTTCGTCGCTCGTACTCAACTGAACCCTCATGGGCACGCGGGCAGAGACGCAGAATGGAGCTGACCATCTTCCTTTGCACTGTGCCGTTTTGAATTTGCCTCAACGCTGTAGTTGGCCGCCGTGTGTCGCGATGCTGCATCATAGGCAAAACAGATCGGTCCATGAGGGTGTACCGAAGAGCCGCTGGCATCTTGGAGGCGACCTTGGAAGCGCAATTCCCGAAGTATGCTTTCCACATTGACCTGGACGTCCGCTGCCAGCACGCCTGGGTGGAGGTGTTCTCATGGAGCGTGCGACCCAAGGCATACAATTCCGCGCTGAGCGGCCACTTTTCCAAATTGCGCGGTGCCTCTGTACTGCCCCGTGGCAGGAGGCACGATCTACTGGAAGGCTTGATCTGAAGACCCCAGACTGATTGTAAATGGGCCTCGCAATATTCCAGGATCGCGATTGCCCCTTTGAGCGAAGAGCCCGCGCTGAATATATTGTCCACATAAGTAGCGACAATCAGACGGAGGCCACCTGCTTGAAAGCCATGTCTCGCCCATTTCTGGTGTCTGTCGCGAATCGTGCTTTCGACGGTCACGCGACCCATTGCACCGGCAACTCTGGACCGCGGGATCGGAATCAAAAAGCTTCCAAGTCTGAGCCGGACAAGCGGAAGCATTTGCTGTCTGAGGGCGCAGGCTGCCAGATCATGTGATGCCCCGTTGTCCACCAACCACTGCGCCACCAATAACAGAACAATGCTGTCGTAGTACTTCTCGATGTCTTGCTGTGCTATGGCCCCCTGGCTGTGGCCCTCCAGAGCCTTCTCGATGACAAGGTGTAGCCCCATGGGCTATGTCGAGCACTTGGGTGCGGGGCCGTGCTCCCGCGAAGGTGCCAGCACGGTGAGGGCAGGCGCTATCCACGATTGGATTCAATGCGGCCGCGAGTAGACAATCGCATACTTGCTAAGCAGCTGGCAGTGGAAGGATGGCCCTGGTCTGCGAGGGTGGCGAAATAGAAGACTCCTTTGGCAAAAAGCCTGCCATGAATCTGGATGCTTGCCATGAGCGGAGACGACCCCAGCAGTGCCTCAAAAAACGCTGTTGTAGTCGAAGGGCAGGCGGTGCACAAGAGTCTGATAGCCTCGACTGATACACCATAATGGTCCAGCTTGGACTTGTTGGCCTCAGATATGGGCGGAGGGCTACACTCGGACTGGAGGATAAAGTCCAAGAGCCGTAGTCTGAGCTGCTGTTGCGACGCGCCCCACTTGTCCGAGAACTGTATTTTCATAGGTTCATGCCACTGCGCCTCATCCGTGATAGGTTGGTTGGCCCCGTCCCCCGGAAGAAACAAACCTTTGATGGAATGCAACTTCTTTGCCTTCTCGATAGCCCGGCCCTTCTTCACATCGTCCTTAGACGCTCGGCAATGCAATCAGCAATCCGCTGCTTCAAATAGTTCCAAGCTGACGTCTGTACCCTTTTCCTATCATACTCGTTCGTCGTGTTAGCGATCTGGGCGTACAACTCGCGAAGCTCGGGTGGAACTCTGCTGGCCCTCCAGGTCGCGCAAGATCTACGGTAGCCCGAAACGGTCTGGGCCTCTAGCAAGAAAAGTGTAACCCCTCGAGGTCGTCAAAGAAAGGTGGACAATGCTCTCGCATCCACTGCGCACAATCATTAGTGTCGATGCACTTCCACCGTGTTTTCGCCGCCTCACGCTGCATGTAAACAGGTGTGCATTCAGTGACAACTTTGGCATGGTCTGCAGGGACTCCCTCCCAGTGCACTCCGACAGACCTCACAAGGCCTCGAGTGGCAATGCAGTAACTGAGGAGACTCGGCTAGTAACTAATGATAACTCTCCAGTGGGAATCCTGCTAATGGGCGCCACGAGGCACTGCTCGGCAAAAGGTCCACCAGGAACACCGTAAGAAATGGAAGGCAAGTGAAGCTCCAAACGAGGGAGATGAGGAGGGTGGGAGATAGGGAAATAAAGAAAGAGGGATAGAAACCGATGAAGACGAGGTGATGTACCAACGAACAGTCAGGGAGCGGCGGATGGGCACGGGCAACACGGCGGGCATTCCAGCACGAGGGGTCCACTCGTCTGGTGGGACGTCGTGTGCTGCGTGGGCGTCGCACATCACACAGTCGTAGTTCAGATCGTCAACAGATCCGTTGGCAGCCTCCGGTCCATGCGAGACCGCCGCGCAGCAGAGGATCGAGCAGCGCTCCTTGGCTGCACGGCGAAAGGCAGCTTGGCGGCACGGGTCAGTGAGAGGGGGGGGGCAAGAGAAGCATCAATGACACGCCGCCGGAGGGTACCCATTAACGTGTTGCTGTGGAACAGCAGACACCAGGCTTCCGGGCCAAAGCAACAGAGCAACACGCTGACGGGCAACCCATGGCGGCGTGGCAACACGCAGCCAGCCAGCCAGCCTCACAGACAATGAAGACCTCCAGCGAAGCAGCTGGTCGAGATGGCGTGGGCATGGCCCCTTGGCAAAAGCACGCCGGCAGGACAAGCAGGAGAGACTGTACACGCCCGTGGACAAGCAAGGCAAATTTATGCGTTCGTCTTTTCACCCGCGCTGCGACTATTCAGGAATCTAATCGTATGACATCTACCCCGCATCGGTGTCCGACTCAATTACGTTGCCCTGTGCATTATTATCGTGCTGACCCTCCCTTCAACGGTTGTAGACGACCCTGAACCAGGCACGGCCGTATTCAGTTCCACAGAAGCGAGGCCAAATGGATCCGAATGCTATGATCACTCGCAGCTTAAAACAAAAAGGCTACGGAGGAGAGGATATAATAGGAAGGAGGATGACGAGGAGGATGAGCAGGACCAGTGAAACAGGAGCGAAGGAATAGGAACTGGGAAGGGTGATGCGGAAGAGAAGCAGCAAGATTCGCACAAAAGGCAGGATCAGGGCAGGCAGGCGGAGGGAGGACGGACGAGCGGGAGAAGGCAGACTGAGAGGCAAAGAGCAGGAGCAAGAGCAGTAATACGAGCAAAGAGAGCGAGCAGGCGAGCTCCCTGGAGAGGGGCTCGAACACCACCCTGCGGACTTCCGATGGACTGCTTTTGTCAACCCGCAGACCCCACACGTCTGGACAGTCCTGGGCCCCGAAATGGGCCCCCAGAGGCCGACATAGTTGGAAAACCACTGAATTGGGAAAGACTGCCCGCCCGAATCGGGCCTTCGTTAACGGGGGGGCGATGAGCGTGGAAGCGTGCGCCTTTCGTGCACCTTTTGGGTCCGTCGAGGCAATTCAGGAGGCCGTCGAGGGCCCTCTTGGGGCCTCTGGTAGGATGATTCCCTCCGGGGCCCCTACGCTCCCGACCCCTTCCCTTGAGACAGCTTTTCGCCCCAGATATCCGTCCCTGATGGCCCCGGGGCCCGAAAGCGGCCGTCATAGGCAAAACCAAGGAAACACTCCCGAATTGAAGACAACATACGGTCGTGAACTTTCGCTCACCTCGCCGCGGCGGCGGCCCTGGCGGCACGCCATGCCTTGCAAGTGGATGGCGTGTCTCTCCGCTCCGGGGGGCAGCAGGCTGGGAACAACTCGGGACGTTGACGCTTGCAAATGGGGACGTGGATAGCGTGTCGCGCCGAAGCGTGGTGGGCCAGAACCGGCAGAGCGACACGCTGAATCAAAGTTCCAGGCCGTACCGTCTTATGTGGCAACACTTGAGATCCTCCCATGTCATATTGCTGGCTCTTGCGAATCGGCGCTGACCGACGCGAATCATCGACGCTAAATGGACGCTAATCGACGCCAAGTCGTCGCTTTCTCATCGACTGCCAGGCGCTAGTGCACGCTAACGCGTTCTAAAACGGAATTGCGAGGACATGCAAGGCTAGTGATTTGCTACAGCCGAACATATGAGGAAGAAAAACCATATAAATTAAGAAACCGGTGACAACGTTCCAAAGTTTTGTTAAAGAAACCTGGGGCAATTTCTGCCGTCCACGCTGAAGGGGCGACCGTGCTCAAGAAACTGGGCCAGCTTTCTCGCAAGTCGGTTAGGCAACGCCTGCCCAGCTTTTCGGGAGGAGGTTTCTTAATCAGATGCTCGACTTTCTTAATCATGTGCTCGACTGTACTGAGCATCGCCAGAGATTCGGGTCGCTCTGTGGCCCGGAACCCGTGGTCAGGGCGAAGCGCCGCCTGCTGCCGTTGCCCGAGGCGCCCAGCGAGGTGGCCCGCACGAGCTGCTAGCGCGCGCGACCGCCGCGCCGCTCGGCATCCCCCCTCTGCTGCTGCTGCTGCTGCTGCTGCTGCTGCTGCTGCTGCTGCTGCTGCTGCTGCCTGCTGCTGCTGCTCCTGCTGCTGCTGCTGCTGCTGCTGCTGCTCCTGCTCCTGCTGCTCCTGCTCCTGCTGCTCCTGCTGCTGCTGCTGCTGCTGCTGCTGTCTGCCCCGGCACTGGCTCCCGCCCAACCTTGGAGCGGGTGGCCACCGGGGCCAGGCGAGTGAGAAAGTCCGCGCCGGCCGCGCGCCGACGCCGCCACGCTCGGCCCCACTACCGCCGCCGCCGCGTCCGGCCCACGCACCGCCGCCTCCCACCTAGGTTCCCTCCTTTTTCCCGCTGCTCCTCCTCGCCCTCCGCCTCCTCATCCTTCTCGGCGCCCCCTGCCCAGGGGAGGGCTCCGCCTCTTCCTCCGCGGCTTTTTCCGGCTCCGCAGCCTCTTCCGGCACCTCCCCCCTGGCTGCCTCCTCATCACCCTCCTCCTCCTCCTCCTCCTCCTCCTCCTCCTCCTCCTCCTCCTCCGCTGAATCCGCGGCCCCAGCATCAGACCCTCTTTAGGTCTGATGTCCACCGGGGCCAGGCGTATTGGCCAGAGGTCCAAGCAGCAAAAAAAAAACACAGCAGGGCGGTGTGCTTATCAGGGAAGTGTTTGTCGACGCCCAGGTGGAAGGCCAAAGACCACCTGGGCGCCCGCGACAAGACCCCCCCCAAAAAAAACAAACGACAGGGAGAGGGGGGAAGGAGGAAGGAGAGGGGGAGACGATCTTGGACAATCAAGGCACGCTCCTATCTTACAGGGTGGCCGGGCAGGTGTGAAAAATGCAATCTGCGCCCCTCTGCCGCCTGAAGCCGCGGATCGGCCGGTACATCCAAAATGCTGCTTTCCACCCCCCCCCCTAAGGGTTCTTAGGGAGGGGGGGTCCGGAACCCCATTTGGGGGGGCAGGACGCGCAACTGCGCATAGCGCGGGGTAGCGCGGGGTGCTACGCGACACCCGCCGCACACACACACACACACACACACACACACACACACACACACACACACACACACACACACACACACACACACACACACACACACACACACACACACACACACACACACACACACACACACACACACACACACACACACACACACACACACACACACACACACACACACACACACACACACACACACACACACACACACACACACACACACACACACACACACACACACACACACACACACACACACACACACACACACACACACATACACACACACACACACACACACACACACACACACACACACACACACACACACACACACACACACATCTAAGGGGGGAGGCGGGGAGGACGCCAGGGAGGAGAGCGACAAATCTCCGCAGTCGGATCAGGAACTGGGCCCACGCTGCGTCAGGACCTAAGTCGCACTGGCTATCACCGTGCTCGCGGTGTGCGACTGTGCCAGCGCGTCCAGCTCTTGGAGGAGGGAATGCCGCTCTAGCGCCTTGCCCGCGCACGCGTGGCACAACCACCTCTTCTCCATGAGGCCGAGCCGGCCGCGGCTGTCCAGGACGAACGGCACGAGGCGGGTGTCTGGCCGTACTTGGAACGCCTCTCACGCTCCATCGCCGCCGCCGCAGCTCCGGGCTTCGCCGCGCGCTGCAGCTCGACGCCCACCGAGGCGGAAAGCGAGTCGACCATAGCCACGTCCAGGAAATTTGTTGTTCTGCTTGGAATCGTGACCGCCACGTCGAGTCTCGCCACCGCCCCGCTGCGCCCCATCTCGGCAACGCGCTGCTCGATGTGGGTGCTGGCGCCCAGGTGCTCGTGCAGCCTCTTCTGAAGAGTGTCTCGGACGCTGTCGTGCCGGCGCACTAAGCCGCCGCCGCGCTCGCAGATGGCGCCTTGGTGGCCCTCCGGGTCCAAGGCGGCACCGCGAATCCTCGCCGGTAGATTTCCTGTTCCTGCAGGTCGCGCCAGTTGGACAGCAGTTCGCGCCAAAGCGGCGGAGCGTCGCTACGGCGAACTGCGCGTCCGCCACGCGGTGCTCCTCGCGCGTCGGCGCCGTCAAAATCTCACCGCGGTCCTCCGCCGCCTCATTGAGGGCGATCTTCTGCCGGCGCTCGAGCGTCTGGTAGAGCCGCTGCCGACGCTGCGCCTGCATTGCCTTTGTCCACTCCCGCTGGCGGCCTCGGAGGTTGAGCTGACGATCCGCCTGCAACATCGCGGGCGCCCGGGAGCCTGCACCTGCCACCAGCTCCGCGGTCGCCTGCTCCATGTCCGCGATGAGTTTCGGGTGCTGCCAGCGCAAGTGCTCGACAGTCGTCGTGCCCAGCTCTTTGTGGACCTCCTGGAGGGCTGCCAGCGTGCCTGCGAGGAACGCCGCCGGAGCTCGGTCAAAAACGCCTTCTGCTGCAAAGCCACCTGCCGATAGGGGGAGCTGTAGCTGGACGCGCATGGCTGGCGTTAGCTGGCCATCGTCCCAAGCTGCCGCTACGGCGCGCTCCCACGCCTTCGCCGTGACAGCCTCGAAACGCGCTCGCCCCTCCTCTGAGACGAGCGCGCTGCGCATGACGTGCTGGGGCTTGGGTGCAGCAAGCGTGCGTGACAGCACCTGCGCCGTCTGGAGGCTCAGCCCGTGGCGCTGCAGGTCGAGGATGCGGTCCACATCGCGCGCCACTTCGCCGATGATCACGTCGAACTCGCTCTCTTGGGTACCCAACGCGGGCATGTAGTCGCCGGTGCGCTCGGCCTGGTTGCCCAAAATGGCCATGCTATCCACGTGGTGATTCTGAAGGTGCCCTGGGAGCTGGTGCCGCTGCGCCCCGAAGATGTGGATTTTGGAGGCGTGCAATTCCATGCCTGCTTGTGCTGCTGCTTCGCCATAGGCCTTGATAACCACGCCTGCGTCTGCCACATTGCAGACCGAGTGGACGTCGTCCATGAATGCTTTCTGCGTCTGGGCTGGCGCCGTGCTCCGGGCTTTCGCAAGGACTTTGTGTAGCCCCAAGCAGAAGAGGATGCACGAAAATGGGCAGCCCGCGTCGATGCCAGTCTTGGCCTGGAATGTGGTCGTTCCTCCACCCGCCTGCACCCAGATCAGCGGCGTGACCCCCGCGTAGAGCCGCGTGGCGAGCGCGCCCAACTCCGGCGCGACCTCCTTCATCGCCTCGCGCATCATCGCCTCGCGCATCACGCGAAGGCGTTCTTGAGGTCGAGGGCCACGATCACCTTCCCAGTGCAGCCCGCTAGCAGTGCCGACACCGTGTGGTACGGCTTCTCTGTGCCACCTGCCACGCCGATCGCGTGCTGCGAAGGCTCCAGCAGCGCGCGGATCTCGGGTGCAATGATTCGGGCTAGGCTCTTCAAGACGATGCGCCTCAGCACGGCCGTGATCACCAACGGCCGCAGCCCGCCTGTAGGCCGTCGTGAGCAGTCTGCCCACGCGGCATGCCGAATGGGCTACTGCAGGTGCCAGCCCGCGCGCCCACGCCACACCGATCTGAGATGTGAGGCGCCGGATCTCCTTGCAGCTGCCCGTCCAATGCTCGAAGCGCGACCCGTCCATCGCTGGCCCAGCCTTCTTCGCCATGTGTTTCATGTCGCGTTGGATCTGGTCCTGAAGCTTGTCCAAAAGCAGGCTGTCGGGCGCGACCTCAAAGGGAGGTGGGACATGTCCAAGTTTCTCCTCCGGGAAGAGGGCGGCCACCTCCGGGACGTGCTGCTTGTTGTTGATCAGCGGTAGCGAAGCGGTTACTGTCTTCAGTGATCGCGGAAGCGCACCCGACAGCACCATCGCCTCCACTCTCTCCGCCAACTGTTTCTTCTCGGATGGGTTGCCTGTCTGGTCCCTGGCCCTGCCGCGCCGCACCTCGCAGAGGATGTTTGCCTCTTCTGCGAGCTCCTGACACTCGCCTCGCCAGAAATGGCGGATGCGTGCTGGTAATGTTGCTCGGGCTTCTGCCGAAGCGCTTGCATCCTTGTCATCGCTCGGGAGCGGTCTGGCGTAGAGGGAGCGGTCCATCATGAGCAAAAGCTTCCAACCAGGCTCGTCTGCAGGGTGCAGGGCTACGTGGCGTAGGACAGTAAGCTTGGTCTCCTCGAACGCCGCCTCCATATCTCTCGGTGCGGCCTCGTAGGTCTGGACCGGCACTTCCAGCATGCTGAGAATGTCCGCTCCTTCCCACCAGGTCATGTTGCGTAGCTCGTTGCCCTCGCCTGCGTGCATGGATCACCGCGGACCTGCTCCTCTGCCATGGCTTCGCCGGGGTCCATCTCCTTCGCGTGGTCGCGCGCATTCGCGGGCTCCGTGAGAGAGGCGCCATCAGCCGGCAACATCTGCACCCCCAAGGCTTGGAATTCCTCGTTGTCGGCCTCCGGGGGGGCTTGTGCATGCAAGGTCGTGTCTGCCGCTCAGAGGCCAGCATGAACGCAGGCCTTGTGCAGGAACCACCCGCCTCCTTTGGTCGCTTTGGCTCGGAGCGTCAAGCGGGCCTGGCCTTCCTCGAAGGGCTCGCGGCACTGCCGGCAACGCGCCTTGCGCTTGCGGGACGACTGGACGTCCGCAGCGTAGCGCGCCGCGGGACGCCCGGGACCCCGGTCGCGGCAGCAACAGCGGTTGGCAGTTGCGATAGCCCCGCGCCGACTGCAACCGTGGACCCCTCCCCCAATTTAACGTCGGCCGCCATCGCCCGCGCCCGCAGAGGGGGGAGGAAGGGAGAGAGAAGAAATCGATCAGGACGCGGGGGATCAAAGGGCATACAACTCCTCCTCCTCCTCCTCCTCCTCCTCCTCCTCCTCCTCCTCCTCCTCCTCCTCCTCCTCCTCCTCCTCCTCCTCGTCACCTCAACCTCCTCGGCCCTCGGCCATTTCCAGCTCCTCCTCTCCCTCAGCCTCCTTGGCGGTCCCTTGGCGGTCCCCGCCCTTGCTCTGGCCGCCGCTTTGCTCAGCGCCCGCCGCCCACGGCAGCCGGCTGATGGGAGGCCAGAATCTGCTCGGTCACCCCTGTTTGCGGGGTGGCCGAGAGTTCTTGCCAGAACGCCTTTGCGTCGGCGCTCGCGCCTGCCTCGCCGCCCCGGCGGCCCAGTCTGACCAGGACCAGCTGCCTAGCGGCCTGACCGATCCGGCCTCCTGTCTCCACCGCGAAGAGCGTCAGGAGGGGCGTGGTCGGGACTGCAGGGTACCGCAGCTGCTTGCCGTGAACCGCGTCCTCGGCCGCCAAGCCCGCATGGGCAGCCCTGGCCAGCTCCTCGCGCGGCTCGGCGGAGTCCAGGCTCGTGGCCATCACGTCCAAGACGTGCCACGCGCCCTTTTCGCCCGTTTTGCTGCTGCTGCTGCAGCTGCTGCTGCTGCTGCTCTTGCTGTTGATCTCTCCCTCTCCCCTCCGGCGGGTTAGTGCCAGCCTCCTCCTCCTCCTCCTCCTCCTCCCCCTCCTCCTCTCCTCTTTCTTCCTCCCCTCCTCCTCTTGTCTTGAAGCTATCACGACGGACGGCTTTTGTTGCCAGCAGTCGGCGTCTGGGTGGGGGCTTACCAGGCACTGGGACCGTCAAAGAGCAACTCGGAATGAAAAGCTAGTCCCGGGGAAGGGGTCCAGACCTCCGGGGGTCCACGCTGCAATAAAATCACTACGTCGGAATGGTTTGTCCTCCTCCTTCCCCTTGTCCTTCTCCTCCTCCGTCTCCTTCCCCCCCCCCTTGTGGGGTGAAGAGGGGGTGCGGGGGGCGAAACGAAGTAACATTGCTTTCGCGGACGGATCGGGCAAGTACAGCAGCCAGCCTGAGATCCAAGCTGCGGCTGGGCGTCTGTTCTTGCCGTTGCGAGCAGGCTATGGGCGCCTGCCAGGAGCCAGCCAGACGGGCGGCGAGGCCGAACGGCCGAGCGGTGGGATGTTTTGCATGCGCTGGAAAAAGGCTCCCACGGCTGAGATTGTGGCTGCAGACTTGCTCTCGCTCGCGGAAGAAGGCCAGGAGTGGAGCCCTGCTGCAGAAGAGCCGCAAGGTAAACTTGTTGCGATTTGGGCGCCAGATCCGATCTTTGGTAGCTCGCCGTGGGAGTGCCCCGCCCGTCTTCCATTGGTACCCTGCCCATGCGTCCCTGGAGGAGGCGTCGGTCCAAGGCCCGCTCGATGGGCGCCCGTTCTTGCATGCGTTGGGAAGCGCTTGGGCCGATGTCCTCGCCAAGTTAGGGGCGAACCAGGAGAGTGTCGGGCAAGGGATCGCTGATGCTTCTCGCTGAGCTCTGAAGGAGTCTCATGCGTTGGCGCCTGGAACGGTGGGCCAAGACAGCGCTGGTAACAATGCTGTGCTTGGCCGACGGATTAGAACCCTTTCTGAGCCCCGAAACTTCACATGCTGAGGAGTTAAGGTACGCACTGCTCAAGCATCATGCTTAGGCACAAGGCCCCCTGCTGTGTCGAATCTATGGGAGATCTGTCTCTACCCTCCTGGCTCGGCCATCCGAGCCGTCCCCGAATCAAGCCAGGGCTTCTCGAGGCCATCTGACGCCATCCGAGGTGATCCGGACACCGAAGGTTGCGACGACTCCTGGACGGACATCTCGATGATCCTGAGGACGTGTGTTTGCGCCAACGTGTGATTGTCCACCGAGGACCTTCAATAAGACGTAGGCGGCGCAACGAGGGCAGACACAGGCTGCGCGCTATCGGCGGAATCGAACGGGGTAAACACGCGCTTGGGCTAACACACGTTCTGAGGATCATCGCACATCATGGACGAGCCCCCCACAGGCTCCAGACCCAAGCGGCCTCCAGTCAGGCTTTCAGAAACTCGGGTCGGGCGAAAGGGAGCGATAGCAAAGGGGGGGCTGACAAATCAGCTCACGTAGCTGATCTTCTTGGCGCCTCCCGTCGCCCGAGGCGCCAATATGTCGAGGAATGCGTTCGGCGGCGGGGCCGAATCCAGCTGCAGGCAGCAGATTTCGTCCCCGCCCCTCTTTCCCGATCCCCCTTCCGGTCGACCCCACTGATCATCGTCGTCTGGCTTGCGGGTCACACCCTGTCCCGACCTGCGTCTCGAGCGAACCCGGACGATCCGGGCACCCCCGGAATTAACGGGCGAAGAACGGTATAATTTAAACTTTTTCGCTGTCGGGGGCGCCTGTCCCTGGGCGGCTGGAAAGTTTGTACCCTTACGGTGCCATTTTATACCGTTCTTCGCTCGCTGACGGAACGCCCTCGGCGAGGCGCAACTGGTGGAGAGCATACCGAGGCACGAGAACCGCCGAGAACCCACGACACCGTCCGAAGACCTCGACGCTCGACACCCTCGGTCCCCCCACCCGAGGAGGGGCGGGGGCTCGCGGGGGCGCGCCGGCAGCTCCGGCTCTCTGCCGCGGCGGGCCACGGTGGGGTCCGCGGACCTCGTCGTGCGGCCCTCGCCCTTGTCTCTCTTGCCGGCCTGCTCGGGAGCCGTGGGGGAGGCTGGGAAGGAGGAGGGAAAGACTAGAGAATGTTCGGCGGCGCCCAGGAGGGGAAGTGAGGAGGAGGAGGCCTGCTCAGGAGGCGGCGGGGCTTCCCAGAAGCCCCCAGGCCTTCCGAGAAGTGTTCGGTGTCTTCGGGGCAGGCGTAGAGCACTTCTCAAAAAGGCTGGGGGGACTTCCGAGCCTTTTGAGAAGGCCCACCCCCTCTCAGTTCCCCCCATGGGCTCGCTGCCATTCTTGAAAAGAAGGGGGGATCCAGAGGAGGACAGGATGCAACTCCTGTGAGCGATTCGCAAAAAGGGTTGAGAAGTATTGAGCCCGATTACGGGGCCAAACCAAATTAGCCGAGATCGGGCCTGGGATTCAGCCGGATTGAACCAGATGCAGCGGGACCAAGCAGAATTAGGCGGAATATACCAGTGCCTATGCTGAAATTAATGTCTCATGAGTTGCAAATGATGGCCACAGAAAACGAGGAACAGGAGGAAGGAACACAAAAAGCATGGAGGAGAGACGGGGGAGCAAGACGAATCGATGGCGCACGCGGCCCCTCGAGCTCCACGCGCTTGCTCACACCAAGCTTCCCGCGACGCCTTCTTAGGTCTTAGGGCGTGGACTGTACATGCTCGACGTCTCGCAGACATACTGGGGAACTGGCGTTTGCTTGCTTGTTTGTTCTTGTGCCTATTTCCCCCTCCTGATTATTTTACCTCGTCATCCCCCTCCTGCGGGCGTTGGCAGGACTAGGGTTAGTGGGACCTGGTTTAGTGAGGTGTACTGGGGGACGCCGCCACGCCCCGTTCCACTGACTGGAACTGCCACCCGAAGAAACACCAGCTACAGCAGACCTGGTTTGGTGATTCCAATCCATGTTTTTTTGGTTGGGTGCTGCGGGACGCACGTGGCAACAGCCACTGGGGGCCTTCGGTGGAGCTCATTGTGGGCACTCTATAAACTCCTCTTCTACAAGGAAGAAACGCCCGCAGGCCAGCGGCGGCAGCGGCCGCGCAGCTCGCGGGAAGGCGAAGGCACCTGCGTGGCAGTGCAGGCCGCCGCGACTCTTACACGGACCGAAGGACGGACCACACTTTGTGCTTCGGAGCCCGAGCACTGACGGCTCCCCTTGACCGGGGATCCTGGCTGTGTCCGACTCCTGCTCTGATGGCGACACGAGAGGCTGCGTGCCGCCCCATACCTCCGATGGCATGCTTTCCCACGGCCTGGGCCCTGCAGCTCCCGACCCCATCGCCGTGGCCGGCTTCGCGCCGCGCGCTGTGTTGTTATCAGCGGCGCGCCTGGGGGGAAGTGAGAGGGGGCGGGCCTCCTCAGAAGGCTCGGAAGCCCCCCCGCCTTCTGAGAAGTGCTCTGGGCCTGCCCCGAAGACGCCGAACACTTCTCAGAAGGCTGGAGGGCTTCTGAGAGGCCCCGCCGCCCTCTGAGGAGGCCCCCTCCTTCTCACTTCCCCCTCGGGCGCCGCCGCCGAGTTACAGTCCGCCCGAAAAAGGCCCGCGCCACGGACAGCGCACTCGAGGCGGAGTGCCCGTGGTGTGCCCGTGTTCGCAGGGCGTCTGGAGGCCTGGGCTCGTGCAACCAGGTCGCCTCCCCCGTCTCGGGTAAGACGAAGCCAGGACGAGGATATATCCGGGTGAGGATACGGCCGGACCCAGGACAGAAGAACGTCCATCACGAACATGGGGCCCTCCCCCAGGACGCACAGGAACATCCAACAAACAAAAAGAAGATTAAGGTGCCCTCCCCGAACCGACCTCGATCTTATACCTCGGTCCGGCCAAACTTAGAGAATCTCTGAGATCTGGCGGCCTCGGAGGATGTCTCGGGCGCCACGGCTTTCTCTGAGTTTTCCAAGACGCTCTGAGAGCGTTCTGGAACGCTCTGAAACGGATTTCCTCGTCCTATCCCCGCCCGATCTAGTGTTGCTAGATCTGGTCCTGGCCCGACGGGTCCGGAGCATCTCGCGCCGTTTTGGAGCCCCGAAAGCACCCTTGGCCTCGTGAAGAGGTGCTCTGGAGGCCATCTGGGCCTCCCCAGAGATCCCGGGGACTCCTCTGGCAACACCCGACCGCCCGAGGACGAGGTCACAACGACTTCTGGCCGGAATCCCTCCCCCCCCTTCCCCTCCCCGTGCCGAAATCGCCCTCCGCGGCCGAGCGGCCGATGGCCCATGGGGGGGGAGGCCACGGAGGCCGAACGGGGGGGAGGAGGTGGGGAGTGACAAGGAACCGTGCCTTGGGCGAACGATCCGAATCTACCAGCCGCTCAGCATCTCAACGCTGCGGATAACTTTGGGTCACACATCTGCCTGGGCTCGCCGAAGATGCTCTCGGCCAGCGGGGGTTTACTGGCAACCCGCCGCGCTGAGCAATGGTAAGCCCTTTGCCGCAAACTTCCCACAATGGAGACAACATAACAAGTCCAAGCCATGGGGGGGAGGCCTGAGCAAGACTAAGCTGGGGCGACGCGGTCAGAATGCGGCCGAGCCCCGCTTGACCCCACAGCGCCTGGATCCCCCCTCGAGGGACGGAGCCGACTGCACGTGGACACGTCCTTCCTTAGTAAGCTTAACGGTCAGTGTAATGGCCTTCCTGTGAAAGGGGGGGAGGAAGCAGCAGAGGGGGCAAAAAGAATGAGGGAGAAGGGGGAGCCAAACTAGATGCATTCACGCCATTTCGGAAACCCTCACCCATCCCACCCGTCCCTTGCCATTTTACAGAATTCGTGAATAACCCATCCTCTGGGCTGTCATGCAGGATTTGATTCCAGAATGCAACCGAGCACGCAAGTTTGCGTGGACCAACCCGACTAGACAGTGCC